TGGCTCCACTCTGCTGCTCTTCCTATTGGCTAAGATGTCCTGCTCCAGTTTTAGCAACAGAAGCTTGGATATGGGTCTCCTTCCTGATTGGTCAGCCTGTGCTGCAGTATCATGGCAACAGATGCAGAGGGACCAGTCTCTGCAAAATGATTTGAGTCATCATCTTCCTTGGGTGGGCTAAGATGCAGAGGGCTGCTCATAGGGAATGAAAAGGGAAACAAGCAGCCCCCCATCTAAGCTCACAGACAGATAGCAAGCCCTCCTCATTGGTTGCCCAGGAATTTGTTAGGCTGATGGGCTTCTTGTCACCTTGTCCATCCTGTATCTTGCAACACCTATTCAGTCTTTCTATTTCCCCAGGGTTACTGTCTCCTGTAATTTTTACAAAGTCATGCAAGCTGCAAGTCAATAAGAACCCATATTGTATTTCAGGATTTAAAAACTTTCAGTAAAGGCTTAGATAATCCAGGAGTCCTTTCAGTTTCAGTAGCCATTCCTCTTTCACTCATCAAACAGTGAATGCTTTCCAAAATTCTTTTTCATCTGGATTACTGATCATCTCAACAACCCTAGGAGTTTAGTAAATTAGGAATAAATGACCCATTTTGTAGATGAGGACATCAGAGCTCAGAGAGCAGGTAATTTGTTCCATGACAGATAGCATATTACTGCCAGATTTAGGTCTCCAACCCTTCTGAACCTTTCTTACCGTTCTACCTTCAAACTATTGACTTATCCATAGTATATAAGATAACTATTGACTTATCTGCTAGAAAAGCCAATTTGAAGTAGGCACTTTTGAACTAGGTATATAGCTCAGCGGTAGAGTACTTGCCTGACATAGGTGGGGCCCTGGTTTTGAATTCCAGCAACACAATAAAAACAAATAAACAAACAAAATAATTAGGCACTTGTATACCCCTAGTCCCTGATGGTCAAGTCCTAAATGTGGCCCTAATTCCCAGGAAAGATTTGTGATAACTGCAAACCCTGCTCTCTTCCCATCCCCTATTCACCAACAAACAGAGAAAGAAATATTCATAAACTTAACTACAATCAATTTAACTGTTTCTATGTGCTCAAAAATGTGCTGAGCATACCTGATCTCACTGAATTCTCTTAGATGTTAATATAGGCATTAGGTTTTCATTATCTATTATTTATAGATACAGAAACTGGTGCTCAGGAAGATTAAGCAGCATGCCCAAGGTCACCCAGTAGTGCAGCCAGAATTTCAATACAAGTCACCCAACTTCACTGTAGCCTGGCTTGAACCTCAGTCATGCTTTCTCTGCTCCCACAGAATGCAGAGAATGGGAAGTTCTAAGAGGCATCTCAGAGTGGATCTTTTCTGCTTGGATGTGCATTTTTCTTCAGTTGAGGCTGTGCCTGGATCAATTTCTTGGTGCTGGAAAAAGCAGACTGAGGACTAGCTTTGTCTTAGGGACTTGAAAATAGTTGGTTCCCAGAGAGTGACTCAGCATGCCCAACAGTGTCTCCCATCTCCCAATTTCTCAGCTTTGTGATATTGCAAGAGGCTGTGACTGGTCACAGCTGAAGTGGGGGAAGAGAATCACCAGTAATTTCCTTGCTCTGAATTTGAGCCTCTCCTGAAAACAAACATTTTAGCAGTTTCTTTTTCTTTTTCTTTTTTCCTGCTCAACTTGGGCTCCCTGAAGCTCTTTCCCTTGAAACAGACCCCAGCCACCTGGCCTGCCCTCATGTCCTCCTAAGGGCATTGGTTTTGGAGGACATGATCAGGTGAGAGCTCACACCCGCCACTGTACTCCCTTAAGCACCACCAGCAAGGGACAGGAATACAACTTTTCAACCAAAAGCAATTCAAGCTGTCTTCCCTGCACCAGTCACCAAGGCATTAAGGAGATGGAAGGGGACAAACCATATGGCCACTGCTCTCATGAAAACTGCATCCTAGTAGAGGAGATGGCTAACAAGTCCCTAAGTGAATCAGTCACAATTTCAGATTGTTATAAAAGCCTTGAACAGGATGAAAGAGTTGGGGGAATTAATTGGAATAGAAGGTACTAGATTAGCCAGGATGGTCAGAAGAATCTTCTCTGAGGAGGTGATGTCAGAGCAGATTCCTGAGTGAGGAGGCAATTGCATGTAATAAGGAGGCTATAACCCTATAATAAAATTTTAAGAATGCCTATAATATAATAAAACAGAGCCTAAACTTACTGGCTTACAAGAACTGTTGCTCATGGCTCATACATCTGTGGTTGGCCTGGGTGGTTTCACTGTCCACTTCCTGGTCACACATGCAGCTGCATTCAGCTGGAGACATAGTAGAGCTGGAAGATGCAAGAAGGTCTCACTCATTTTGTAGTTGGTGCTGACTGTTATCTGTCTGTCACATGGCCCTTCATCCTTCAGTTGGCTAGACTTGCTGCCTTATGGGGGAATCTAAGAGCAGCATCTAAGAGGGTAAAGGCAGAAGCTCTCAAAACCTATTAAGGGTCAGGATCCCAGACTCAAAAAGGGTCATTTCTACCACATTCTATTGTCTAATCAAGTCACAGGCCAGCCTGGAATCAGGCATGGAGAAAGAAACTTGTCCTCTTGATGGAGAGAGAGGTCACTAAGATATTTGTAGCCCTCTTTAATCTGTCATATCATCCACATGAAGATATTTAGGAAGTGTGTTCTAGGCAGAGGACTAGCAGGTAAAAAGGTCCTGAGACAAGCCCTGAACATTGAATTCCTCTAGTTTCTCAGTTTCCTACTCTGTAAAATTGGAACCAAGGATGCCTCCCTGTTTCCTCTAAAGGCAAAGAGAATACTTTCAGGATGGGTTTAGGATTTTTGTTATTGGCCACTGGGTGGGAAGAGAATCAAACATAAGAATTTGGTTTGGCATACTACAAACTCACCAGCATTTTTTGAACATCATCTGGCAGGAACAAACAGTTCTCAGCACAGCAGGAGAGTCAGAGTTGCTGATCTTGCTGAGTATGGGATGAAAAGACTGCTCACTGCCCTGCATGGTAAATGAGACATGTCAGGTACATCTCAGAAGAGAACTGGGACCCAGGTATGGTGGCACACACCTGTAATCCCAGTGACTCAGAAGGCTGAGGCAAGAGGATTGCAAGTTCAAGGCCAGCCTCAGCAAAGATGCTATCTCAAAATGAAAAATAAAAGGGGGCTTGGGATATAGCTTGCTGGTAGAGTGCCCTGGGTTTAATCCCCAATGTCACCGCAAAAAAAAAAAAAAGAAAAAAATCCCACAGGGGAACATAACCTGGGAATCTCAAATAAAGGTAAAGACTTTTATCTGAAGCAGAGTCCATGTGGACAAGAAGGGAGAGATGAGCTTAGAGCTAAAATGGGCCTTATGGGCCAACTAGAAACTCTAACCTTTTCCCTGAGAACAATGTACACAAGATTGCTGGATTTACCAAATAAAAATACAGGTTATCCTGTTCAATTTGAATTTCAGATGCACAACAAATCTTTTTTTAGTATAAGTATGTGCATGCTATATCTGGGACATTCCTATACTAAAACATCATTCGTTATCTATTGGAAATTGTTTTAACTGGGCCTCCTGTATTTTCTGTGGCAGTCCTTAATGTGCCATCATAGAAGGGTTTTAATCAGGTTAAATGAAATGATTAGGATTTTGAGAAGCTCCCAGGATTTGTGGAAAAATAGACTGAAAGGAGACCAGAAGTGGATGGGGGATAAACTACCTGCTATTGACCAGGCCAGAGGAGTTGCAAAGATCCCCATCAGAAAATGGGGCATTTTATCACATCTGCCAATCCATCTGCCTTTCCCTTCAGGCAGATGSCCTTGGTAAACCCATCAGCTGCTGAAATCTGGGGGGACTGTTGACCAGGTCAGGCCCCAGCTCTGCTGTGTGAGTCTTTGGCCTGTTCTGTTCTATCCAGGACCCTTAGAATCCTTATCATTTAAATGAAGGGATCAATCAGAGAGATGGTCTCTCTCAAGATTCTTCTGCTTCTGCCATCCTGGAGCTCTCTGCCCATCTTCACCCTGATATCTCTCCTGGTGCAGGCCTACTATGGTGAAAAGTTCAAATCTGGGACATCTGACTCCAAGTCCTTCTTAGCCATTTCTCTGGCCAAGGAATGTGTAAAGAGTCCCACTCGGCTAGGCATGTAGCTCAGTGGTAGAGCACCTGGCATGTACCAGGCCCTGGGTTCCATCCCCAGTACTACAAAAAAAAAAAAAAAAAAAAAAACCCTACTACATCTTGCTCCAACCTCAGGTTCCATGCCTTGTTTGGGAGAAAGGACTCAGTATTTGTGGAGGGCCTACTATGCGCTAAGCAAGTCCTCTACATTTTCTGTCTTAGTTAATCCTCACAGTAGCCCTGCAAGGAAGATATTAACTCCATTTCACAGATAAGAGGACTGAGGCTCAGTGACCGGGTTATTCCCCCAGTCACACAGCTGTGCAGGGCAAACCTGGAGTTGATTCCAGGTCAGGCTGGCTGGCGTCAGTACTCTGTCCTCCCACTGTCTCCAGGAAATATCCCCTGGAGCCCCTAATCCCTCATTTATTTAGGGCTTGGGCTCTGTCAGCAGCCTTCTTGTCCCACTGCAGGCACATGCTGCCCTGGTTCTTTCTGAGTTAAGCCAGCGGCTAAAATGGGCTGGCATAATGTTCATCCTGCCGTGGGCTTTATGGTTTATGAAGCCTTTTCCCATCTGTGTCCTCCCCACAACCTCATGTAGACTTGACATAGCCCCTTCAACTTCTTGCCTGCAGCTCTGCCGCAATGAAGACCACATTAAATATTAACAGGGAAGCTCCTTGGCACTGCTGTGATGTCAATTATTGCTTGGTGAGGGCTGTGGCTGCCTTCCCAAGGTGAAGCAGTGACCGGAATTCAGCTGGCTCCAGTGAAGTCCCAGGAGGCTGGCTGTCGGCATTTGGAGAAGATGCTGTTAATGTAAGGTGTGGCGGGAATCCAAAAGCTTTTCTCTGATCTCCCTGGCTCTCCCCAGGCCTGGGGTGGCATCGTGATGCTGGCACGGTGCATTCAGTTACTTGGCAAGGATTCACTGAGCACCTGCTGTATGCCAAGTACAGTGCTAGGCTCTGGGGATGCAGCTGTGAGGGTGACAAGGTTTTTATGTCACAGAGCTGCCCTTCTGGTGAAGAAGAAAGAAACCCTGCACCGAACGTCAGCAGATGCCTACCCCAGCCTGAGACCAAGGATACTTCCAGAGGAAGTCAAGAGAAGGAGCCTGAGTTAGGAAGGCAAAAAAGAAGGAATGTGTTTCAGGCAGAAGACATAGAATCAGAGCTCAGAGCCTGGTTCTATCACTTCTTAGGAATTTATCTGCAAATTGGGTTCTTACCTTATAGGGCTGCTGTGGGGAGTAAATGAAGCCATTACTAGGGTTAATGAATCCGCACACACAGTGGAGTGCACAGAGAGCGCTCAGGGGTAGCTTTATGAAAATAGCTTTATATGATTCCTTTGTCCTCCCAGGAATTCTTACCGCCATTTGGGGGGCAGAAAAACTGAGGCTCGCAGAGGTGAGCTGAGATGCTTAGGTCATATTGTGGATCAGATGGTAAACTGGATACCTGACTTCAGGCTCTGATTTGCACTTTTAGCCACACTCTAGCCACAGGAAACCCAAGCAGTGTTTCAGCTCGGTTAACAGTGAATCCCAGCTATGATCCCAGTATGAGTTCAAAGGCAGCCTCAGCCTTTTTTTGAGGGAAGATTATCTGTTTTCCTGTATGAGAATAAGCCTATGTCTGGTCTTTGGGAGGTCTGGACACAGCCTTGGTTTTGCTGCTAACCTGTTCTGTGACCATGGGTGAATTACTTCCCCTTTCTGAGCCTCAGTACCCCACAGGGCCAGCTGAATGACAAGCTGTTATTGTCTGAGTTTCTGATTCTCCCAACAGTGCTATGGCAAGGGACCCACTTTTTATTCCATATTAAAGATAAGGAAACAGTCTGAGAGGAGCAAAAAGTGATATGAACATGGCTTCACAGTTGGCAAGTGGGGGGACAAGATATGGAGCCAGGCACAACTGCTGGCAGAAGTATCCATCAGTCAACCACACCATGCTGCCTCTTGGAGCAAGACATGCCAAATTGTCTTCAAGATCCTTTTGTGGCTCTCTTGATTCTGTGAGTTCCCTGTTGCCTCCAGGCCTTTGGGTTCACAGATCTTGTGGGAAGGACATTTCAGGTTGAGCTGATCCTCCAACTGTCTCCATTTAAAGGAGTTAATAGCACTGTCACAGAGTCTTGTAGGCAGCACTCCCTTATTCCCTCAGTCACTGCCTCATTTCTTCTGGTTACAGCCCAGAGAGTATAGTAAGAAGAGAACTGCCACCATATCCCCATTTTATGCAAAAAGAAACTTAAGAGAGGCACATGCTCAGGTTTCCCCAGCTACTGTGAAGAACTAGGCTTGGAGGCTGAGTCTGAGTGAGTAGTTGCAAACTGGCCAAATTCAATCTGGGAGCCCTTCCTCCTTTCAGCTCCTTCCAAGTTTCTGCAGTCTTGCCTTCTTCTCTCTTTTCTCTCCCTTTTATCTTCCACCCAACTGTCAGTTAATCAGTTAGCTGTCAGCAAAATTAAGGTGTTCCCTTTCCTTGGAAGAAGTATCTTGGCCGTTCATAAAGAGGGCTCTAGTGGGAGGTGGGGTTGTGGCTCAGCGGTAGAGCCCTTACCTAGCACATGTGAGGCCCTAGGTTCAATCCTCAGCACCACACAAAAATAAATAAATAAAATAAAGATATTCTAAAGAAAAAAAAAGAGGACTCTAGTGGTGGGACCTGTGTAATATGCAGAAGGTATAATTGGATTCAATGCTGCATTTAGGGAAAGGTGCCTGAGTTCAGGAATCTCAGCCAGTCATCTCAGGGTGAAAATATAGGTTCTGTCCTCAGGTGCTTCCATTCTACTAGGGAATTGGTAACTTCCTAAGGAAGTGGAAAGCAGACAGTTTAAGTGACAAAAAGCATGAACTGTATAGTCAGAAAGACCTGAATTCAAATCCCAGCTCTTCCTCCACTTCCTGAAGACCCTTGGGTAAGCGGATGCCCACCTAAGCTTCAATTTCTCCATCTAATTAATGATTTCAAGAGAAATAGTTGTCATAATGATTAAATTAGATCATATACTACATAAAATAATATAGCATGTTGATTTTTGCCTACAAATTGACCAGGAAATATCAATTCTACCGATGTCACACTATGCAGATGGCTGATGCCACGGTGGTGTAGGCAAGAATACTTCTTTTTGAAGAAATTGGGCAGGCTCTTGTGAAAAGATAAGATTTCAGCTGATATCAAAGGACACAAAAAAACAAGAAAGAGTTAGAGGGGATGGGAAAAGACACCTTAGTTGGTGGAAACTGGCAGGAAATCTGGGAACCTGGTGGGGCCAGGATGATCAAGAAGTGAGTGATGAGTTTAAACGTCTGGGCTAGCGTCATGTTATAAAGGGCCAGGTGGAGGAGCTGATGTCTTTTACTGAGGAAGGATCCTACCCTCAACCGAAGGGGCAGCTCAATGTTTTGTCTGCAGAGACCAATCCCTTGAAGTCAACCCTCTTATTGGCATTGCTCCTCCCACATCTCTGTTTCCTGAGTTGGGCCAGCCTTCTGCCGGTCTGGAAGAAGCCAGAAGGCTGCAACAATCTGTCTGCCTCCTACTAACATCCTGGGGAGGAAAAGATTTTTTTTTTTTTAGCACAATTGCCTGGCAGAGAACTGGTAAAAACTCAGTGACCCTCTCCTTTACTTCTCAGGGTGTAGTTTAAGCAGCAGTTGGTGACAATTATGATCACAGCTCAACAATCAAAAGAATGTTCTGAGACTCTCAGAAGGCTGGGGCAACAGCGAAAGAATGGTAAAGACAAGACAGGATGGGTCTAGAACCAGCTTTCTGTTCATTGTTCTCTGTGCTTCAGTTAAGCAAGACACTTAGCTTCCCTAGATCTCAGTTTCTTCACCTGTAAAATGGGAATAATACTACCTTGCCTTAAACACGTGGAAAAATACAGGCAAAATGCATTCTGCTATAGATTAGGAGGAATTCATTTTCTTCTTCACTTCATTGATATGGTCCCATAACTTGTCTGTGTGTGTGTATGTGAGTGTGTATATGTATGTTTACTTAAAACTRAACCCAAAGCCTTATACATGCAAGGCAAACACTCTATCATTGAACCACACATGTCTTTTGAAGCATCCCTGTTTTACCTCGTGAGTGGGCATGTTATTGTATGCTGATCTTCCAACAATGAAACATAGTAGATCTTCAGAGTGGAAATAAGAAGTAACTTAGTGCACAGACCCATGCTTGTGCAGGGCAGCCCGAATCTGGTGCCAGAACTAAACAGCTCTCATATCAAGCAAAAAGTCAAAGACTAAGAACACCAAGAAGTACCCACAGCATGCAACATCCAATGTGTTTGCTATATTTGACAAGTCACAAATACAGGAGTTCAAAGAGGCCTTCAACTTGTTTGGCCAGAACAGAGATGGTTCATCAACAAGGAAGATTTGTATGATATACTTGCCACACTAGAGAAGAATGCTACTGATGTGTACATTGATGCCATGATGAATGAGGCTCCAGGACCCATAAGTTTTACCATGTTCCTTATCATGTTTGGTGAGAAGTTAGATGGCACAGATCCCAAAGATGTCATCAGTAATGATTTTGCGTGGTTTGATGAAGAATCCACAGGCACCATTCAGGAGGATTACCTGAGAGAGTTGCGGATCACCATGGGTGATCTTTTTTTTTTTTTAAACAATGATTCTGTGTTTTTTTTTCCATACAATATCTTTATTTTATTTATTTACATGTGGTACTGAGGATTGAACCCAGGGCCCCACACATTCGAGGCGAGCACTCTACCACTGAGTCATAACCCCAGCCCCATGGCAATATTTTTACTGATGAGAAAGTGAATGACCTGTATAGAGAAGCCCTTATTAACAAAAAGGGAAATTTCAATTACATCAAGTTCACATGCATCCTTAAACATAGAGCAAAAGACAAAAATGACTGAAAGAACTATAGCTAAAATTTCCCAATTACATTATCTTTCTCTATTTTATTTCTCAGACACTTCCTCTACCCTCACAGAACCTGTTGCGGGCAACTTAGTTTCACAGCTTTGCTTTTTTTTAAATAACTCTCTGCCACTTAGAAGTTGTACAATCAAGACTGGAAATGGGGATGAGGTTATAAATTGTAYTGAAAAAGAAACTGCAAATAAAAGTCAACAAATGTGAAAGCCCAGGAAAATATGTTCGTATTTCTGAGTTTGCTGGATTTTTAATTTTTTATATAATAAAAATGCTATTTTGAAATTTAAAAACAACTTAGCCATTCACCAACACAGCCTCCCATCTCACAGTAAGAACCCCAAGGTTCAGAGGCAAAGTAGCAGCATTCTCAGGCCCTGTACTTTAGCTGTCCTAGACCAAGATTCCTCCTCCCACCATGCAGAAGCTGGAGGCAATTATCTAGGTAGATCTAGAAAATTCTTGCTAAGAAACACAATTGCCTACCATTTGCAAAACTGAAGCAAAAGCCTTTTTTCCTTCATTATAGCGGAAATTCCATTGGTGACAGCTTTGCCTTCTCCCCAGAACTGARTTCCTCTGAAGGAGCCTGAAGGAGGTGGAGGTTGTAATGGGGCTCTGAGCTCCACGGGCTCAAAGAACCAGCTCACAGATTGCAACTACCAGGACATTTTCTCACTTCTTAATGCCAAAAGCTGCCTTGGGTGGGGGTGGTCTTCCATGGCAGGCTTTGAAAGAGTGACAGGAGGACCTGGATGATCCTAAATTCCATGTGCTTAGGCCAATCTTAGACACAGGGAGAAGGATTTGGTATCAGCAAAAGAACACCGGGGTCAAAGCAAATGGCAGAAAATAGATGTGAGGGAGGGAGGTTCAATACCCTTCTTATAGCTCTCAATTTCTTCATCCATACATTGGAGGTAAGAATCTCCCTCCAAGTGGGGATTTGATGAGATAATTTCTGGGGGTAAACTCAGGAAGAGAGTAAATGATTAATAAACAAGAGCTGCTCTTGATGCTATTGTTGATGGTGTTATCACTGGCTGGGGAATCAGTAAAGTCACCTTAGTAACAGGCAGCCCTACTTTGAGGAACAGAATTTAAAATCTTTTCTGGGTGACACTAATTTGTGTGCAGCAGCCCCTCCAGCTCAAGATGGTAACCATGCCAACAGTGCGAATGCCATCTCTCTGGAACAATACCAGGTCTTCTTTGTAACATGTCCCTTGGTGTCCAGATTCTCAAGCAGCTCAGAGTATCTAAGAGGAAGGAAAAAAAAAAAAAAGGACATACCTTTTCTAGGTCACCTCTTCATTGAACTACAGTGGAGGATTTTGACAATGCTTTGGAAATTTAGTCCTACATGAGGAGCAGTCATTCACACTGGGTGAGGRTGAAATGCAGCAAGGAATTATTATACAGGTGTGAGGGATGGTGCTTTTCCTATTCCAGCACTATGCAGATACTAACATACATGCATATGCTGATCCTTACAGCAACACTAAGAAACAGGTGTGGTTAGACCTGTTTTACAAGTGACTTGTCCAAAGGTACTTAGCTGGTAAACTGGCAGATCAGAATTTGAACCCAAGTCTAGAATCATGTTCTTTTCCCCCATCATAATACACACATCCTCATGAAGCCAGGTGGGTTTTTGCTTGGTTCCCTGAGACCCTATACCAGGTGAAGACACAGACCTGGTTCTTGCATATTTTGATGTTAATCATCAGCCCCCCTCTTCATCTTACTCAGGGGCTCTCTTGGAGTTGTTCCAAGCTCATGTTGTGATGCATGCTTGTCATCCCAGTGACTCAGGAGGCTGAAGCAGGAGGACTGCAGTTTGATGTCAGCCTCAGCAACTTAGTGARGCCTTAAGCAACTTAGCAAGACCCTGTCTCAAAAAAATAAAAAGAGCTGAAGGATGTAACTCAGTAGTAAAGATCCCCTGGGTTCAATMCTCAGTATGGGAGGGGGGAAAAGTTATATTTATTGATGGGACTACTTATAGCATCCTAGTCTGACTTCATAAGGCTTTGAAGAGTTGACAGGTCTCTTCCTAGGGCAAGGAAGATGGGGGAATTTTACAATCAGAATGACTCTGAAAGGGGAACCATAACTTGAAACCTTCTCATATCATGGAGCAGCATGATGGTCATCAGGCTTGGAACTCTGAAGAACCAGAGTTTGAGTCCTGGCTCTGCCAATTCCCAGCTGTATGACTTTGTTGAAGCCATAGAACCAGTTTCCTCATCTAGAAAGTGGAAATGGAAATTGTAACTATCTTAACAGGGATGTCTTGAAAAGAAAAAACAAATCTCCATCTCTGCAAAGTAACTCACGTGATCCTGGAAACATGGTAAAGGATCACTTCCCCTCAAGAGTAAGCAAGTATACCCAGGATGAAGCAAACAGGGCCTGGAACAGAACCCCGAGGAATATCATCACTTTGGGATAGGCTAGAAGATAAGTCTATACAGAAGACAAAAGAAGAGCAGCCAGAGAAGCAAAAAGGAGCCAAGAGGAGTTCAGGGTCATAAAGACTAACAGAAGAGCTAGACAAGGAGGGATAGACAGTTGCCTTATCACAGACAAGAGGGCAGAGAGATAAGCACTGTGAAGTATCTTTGGATTTGACAAAAAGGAGGCCTCTGGTGGCCATGGGGAGCTGTCTCAGTGGAAAAGTGGGGCAGAGCCTGATTATACTAGGCTGTTAGGAATGAATGGGAGGTGAAGAAGTTTGATGAGAAGAAAAGCTCTGTGAGAGAATCAAAGTATCATTTATGCCATTTCTTAGCCATTTCATGCTGCTATATCAGAATGCCTTAGGAAATTTATATAGAAAAGAAACTTATTTACCCCATAATTCTGAAGGCTAGGAAGCCCAAGGGCCCGGCATCAGCAGGCATCTACTTGACCTCTTGTCATACCATAGCAGAAAATGAAAGAGAAAAAAACAAAACAAAACAAAACAAAACGGGCTCAAGACAGTGTCCTCCAGTCCTTTTATAACTGTCTTTAATCCCCTTAGGACCCACCTCACAATACTGTTGCACTGGGGATTAAGCTTCCAGCACATGCTTTTCAGAGGATATGTTCAAATTGCAGCACAAGCCCAGCATGGTGGGGCATGCCTGTAGTCCAAGTTACTCAGGAGGATTGCAAGTTTGAGGTCAACCTGGGCAATTTAGGAAAACCTTATCTCAAAGTAAAAAATTTTAAGGGTTGGGGACATAGCCCAGTTATAGAACACTTGCCTAGCTGGCCTGAGGCCCATCATTCAATCCCCAGCATTGCTAACGAAAATACCAAATAATAAATCATATCATATGTCAAGATCAATTATTCAGAATGTTCCAGCTCTACCTTATTTTCACTATTTGGACATCAATTTCTGTCCAAAAATGGTCTGAAAAGCTTGAAGGGCTGTAAGCCTTCTAAGAGCTAAAAGAAACCCAGGAATTTTCCCCTTGCTGTGCTGGTCCTCTTCCCAGCTCTCACATGAACCCCATCTTTATGGAGGGGGTGGGTGATTAATTACTACCTTTCACATTTTCATAAGATATTCACTAGGGGGAAAATCAGCCTGGTTTGTTAACCTCAATTCCACCAGCAAAGGTGACTCTTCAAAGCATAGTGAAGGCTGGGGTGAGGGCCTCACTCAAATCCAGCTTCATAGGTAGAAAGGTCCCCATTTTAGCATCACAGAAGGGAGAAGAAAGACTGGGAAGCAAGAGACCTGGTATGGAGGTCCTAGCTCTGATCACCAACTGCACAAATAGGGTCAGTCATCCTTCTCTTCAGAGCTCAGTTCTCCCTTATGTAGGATAAGTAGTTTGACAAAAGTAAATCTAAGGGCCCTGCAGGCTCTGACATCCAGGATGTGGATTTCTAGAGTATGATGCTTTCAACAGTTCAAGTCCAGTTTCCCAGATGGCAAAACTGAGGTCTGGAAAAACGCAGTCTTCAGTTTTTCCCTTCTCCTTTCTAATGCATCTTACTCTTCAGAGAAAACTTCCTGGCCTGAAATATGGTTTTAGTGGTTCTCAATTACCTAAGGACAAAGCTTTGACTCTTCAGCCGGCATTTTAAACACTCCATAATCTCATTTTATCCAACCTCCTTTCCCACAGTTAGGCCTGTGTTCTCATCTTCATCAACATTTTTTTTCCCTATCCTAACTGTCCATGCTGAACCCACACCCTAGTATAATTTTCTGACTCATGTATCCTTCTCTTTTATATTTAGATCTCAGCTTCTCAGGAGCTGAAGCTGTTATCTTACTTAATCAGTGATGAGCATGCAGTAGTTGCTCAATAAAATTCCCAGCAAGCCCAAGGCMCTGTCTCTTGTGCTGTCTTTGGCATACTGTATTTCAGATGTGTTGTCTTTATCACTGGGATTTTCCTAGTTTGTCAGGAGGTTAGAGGGCTCCCCTAGCACGTGCTGGGTTCAATCCTCAGCATCATATAAAATAAACAAATAAAATAAAGGTATTATGTCCAACTACAACGAGAGAGAGAGAGAGAGAGAGAGAGAGAGAGAGAGAGAGAGAGACTGACTTTTCTTTGCCTCAAGAGGAAGCCCAGAGTTTTAATTCAGCCTTATAACCTTGAGCATTTTCCTTTGCTTTGTATCATCGCTGTTGTGCTTAGTCGGGGTCGGTTGTGAGGCTTAAACAGCTTTGGGCCTGCTCCTGGTAGGTGTGTTGTGAATGTTTTTCATCTCAACCAGGTCACCCAATCCCTCCTCCTCACAGAAGGAACCGTAGCCCAGGGGCACTTCTCACTTCGGCAACCAGGGGGGTGCTTTTGTTTGTGTGTGTGTGTGTGTGTGTGTGTGTGTGAGTGTGTACTCAAAGGTCCTGTCGGATGCTGTCATTGCCAGGGCAGACCCAATCACAGGGTGTGGCCCTGAGAACATCCTCACTGGGCTCTGGCGGTAAGGATAGCAGGGGAGGACTCAACCCCCCCTTTGGGGCAAGCTGCCTCTCAGCTTCTCCACGTCGTTTATTTGGTTTGGGGGCCCTTCTCAAGCCAGGTCTCTAATGTGGAGTGAAGGGCACTTCTCAGGGTGGGGCTGTGACAATGCACTGCCTGTGCCGCCGCCATCACCGCGGTCCCTCCTATTGCTCTGCAGTCTCCACCCCGGTTCGGCTCTCTCCCACCTCCACCTCTGCGGCGGTAAAATGCAGTACTCTCAGGGCGCGTGCGCAGGTCTGTAGCGGGGTGGTGGCGGCAGCTATTTATAGTAGGTGACGTCACCTTGAAATAGACCGTTAGGGCTGGCCCGCCCTTCCCTCCTCCCACTCCCGCCGCTCGGCCCGGCCTCTCCCACTGCGCAGGCGTCGTTCCGTCCACCCATCCCCCCACCAGGCGGCCGCTTCTCCTCTCTTGGCGGCGTCCGGGGCGCCAGCCACTGCGCGCGGAGCGAGCCAGAGAGAGGGCGCGAGCGGCGGCGCTGCCTGCAGCCTGCAGCTTCTGGCAAGCCGGGGAACCAGTGCGCGTGCGCGGCGGCGGCCTCCGCGGCGACCGGGGAGCGGACGGGCGGGCGATCGAGCGGTGCGGGGCGCGAGGCGAGGCCGGGCCTAGAGCGACATGGGGGACCGGGAGCAGCTGCTGCAGCGGGCGCGGCTGGCCGAACAGGCGGAGCGCTACGACGACATGGCCTCCGCCATGAAGGCGGTGAGCGCGCCGCGATCCCGGGCGGTTGGCCAGGGCATCCTAGCACGGGGCAGGGATGGGGCGGCGGGCAGCGTCTCCCTTTTGGACTGGCCCGGGGAGACCCAGCTGGGCGCGGCCACCCACAGCTTGCGCTTCCCGCGCCCGCCTTGCTCCCCGCCATTTCCTGAGGCCTTGGCCAGGGTGGGGTCTCGGGGGGCGGGGGCAGGCGTTCTGGGTCGCCCTTGCAGCCCCGCCAGAATGAGCGGCCTGGGGGGCGTTGCATCTAACAGTGCTCTGGGTTGCGGGGGAAGGGTTATCCGAGGAAACACGCGGGAGCCATATTCTGCTTCTAGACTGTTCTATAGGACTTGGGGGCTCACTAGCCTTCCACTCTATAGCCTTCCACCATTCACCAACTTCTAATAAAAGAATCACCTAGTGAGTGGCGCGCTGTCTCTCCTGACTTTCTCTGCCAGGACTTGAAACCTGTGTAATTCCCATCAGTTTGTTTAGATTGCTCGAATTGCTCTTCCCCTACCTTTTCATGCTTGGGGTCTGGCTTTGTGTTTGAAGACCCCGCTCCTGCAGTCTAGGCGTGGGTGAGGGCTGTGGGACGGAGGGTGTGTAGCCTCATTATAGCCCCAAGTTCACTGTTGCACCGTCTGCCTGGAGATTAAACTGAAACGTGACTACTTCTGGGTGAAATGAAAGCTTATGTCTTTGCATTCCCAAGACCCTTGTAGATTCTGCAGCTTGATTTCCTGTGAAGGAGTCGTGACCAGCCACGCCCTAGCACATACAGTGGATTAGACACCACCTTTCTGAGACTTTGGGTTCTGGTTACCATCTCACTGGTCTTGTCTCTCTTCATATTATCTTAGAAGTGAACATTACTTCTGTGTCCAGGTCACTCAGTGGTAGAATTAAAACCAGTAGCCACCAACTTGCTATATGGTCCAATATTTAGCCTCCCAGGTCTCCACCTTAAACCGCAAAATTCAAAAATTCTGGGAGACATCTGCATTTTGGCCAGCTTTGGGGCAATTTTTAGGTGACTTTTAAGTTTGATAGTGACTGCACTGGATTATAGCTCATTGTCTTTTGGCTAGSTTTTTGAAGTGATTTCTAAACGAAAAAACTACAACCCAGAGACACCCCCAAATGTTAGACTCATTTGAAAATCTCATTTTAAGGCTTTTGATAATAATATCAGATGAAATATAGTTGAGACCAATATTTAGGATTATCCAGGTAATAGTTGGGTTATCTTACATAGGGTGTCCTTGTTATACATCTAACCAAGGTGTGATTGGAAACCAGCAACACACCAAGGCCAATTTGTTAACAAATTGGGATCCTCATTTCAACACTGTGGTGTGCCTTTGTGGATGGATGGGAATTTTTTTCTCTGAAGTAGGGGATAGTCTAAGTTAGAGGCTTGAACTTTAAATTCTTAAGGACCTTGTTAAAGAAAAAATCAAAATATGAATTTGTAAATCTTAAATGACTGAGTGTATGAATGCATTTCCTTGGAAGGGGTCCTAAAAYAGTTCTCTTTGGGAAAAATCTACCTCTTTCCACGTCAGCAAGTCACACTATGTGTGCCTCTTTTCCCCAGTAACTGAGAACTTATAATTGGAATGTGTAAACTGAAGCTTCTCAACATATTGGTGAGGTCCATGCATAGCCTGGGAATGGAACTTGAAGCTGCAGGGTTAGGAGGAGCCCTTTGGGGAATGATGTTTTAGAAAGAAGGATAGAATTTGAAGTTGAATTAAGGTTAAGAAAAAATGGCTAGAAAATACTTTGTGGAGCTATCAGAAACTTGAGATGAGAAATAAGGAAAAAATGGAGGGATATTACCAGAACAAAATTTAATTGGGGGGCGGGGGGACGACACTGCCTTTCTGGTCTTCATAATCAGACTTAAAAAATACTTCTCCATAACTTGCTATTTTTGTCCACAAATGTTCTCTGAGGTATTAAAGTAGCATTTTGCAAACTAATGAACCCTTCAGTGTATTGGGAATTAATAATTCATATCTGAAATGATTGATAAGTTAGAAAAGCCATGCAGTTTTGAAAACTCAGTCCAAGCTGTCATCAGATTTGTAATAAACTATTCCTTCAAGGTAACTCCTTTAAAATAAGATTTTTTTTTTTTTTTGGCAATATGCCTGTTTCTTATGTTAAATATGTTTTGCCATCTAAATTGATCAGGGAGAATGGTTTCTTAACATTTTGCCTGTTAAATTGGCATTTGTAGATTAAATTCTTAATGTTATTAGAGCACTAAGTCCTTATGTTTTTAATACAAACCTTAACTAAAGCTTTTGGGAAGAGTGAATGCTAGATCCTTCTGGATTTATGTGGGCTTTTTTTAGGGCAGTGGAGGAAGCAGGTAAGTAAACTAGGGAGGATGGATCTAGGCACTACTCTGACCTTGAAACTTCTATCTCTTGGTTTCAGGACATCTGAAGCATCAAACTAGGAATATTGGTGTTATTAAAAAATTACTTTCTACCCTGAATCTTCTAACTTGTTCCTGCTGCCTTTGTAATTTAAATAGTCACTTAATATTGCCTACATGTAATGATTGACGTTCTCTATTCTACCAGCATCACCTGGAGGACAGTGTTGGTAAGCTTTGAGAAAAATCATGCAGGGCTGGGGTTTTGGCTCAGTGGTAGAATGCTTGCCTAGCATGTGAAGCACTGGGTTTGATTCTCAGCACCACATAAAAATTATAATAAGTGCTGGGTTGTGGCTCAGCGGTAGAGCGCTTACCTAGCTCTTGCTAGGCCCTGGGTTTGATCCTCAGCACCACATAAAAATAAAGTAAATTTACAAAAAACTATGAAAATAATGCATTAAAAAAAAGAAAAATCAGGGCTGGGAGTTGTGGCTCATTGGTAAGAGCACTTGCCTAGCATGTGCGAGGCCCTGGGTTTGATTTTCAGCACCACATATAAATAAATGAATAAAATAAAGGTCCATCAACATCTAAAAAATATTTTTTAAAAAAAATCACGCATATTGGAAGCTATGATGCTGYCTCAAATCATTGAGATCTAAAATTCCCTGCCTTATCCCATAATTTGAAGAGGCAAGAAATGTTAAAGAGAAGTTAATAAAGGAGTATCTCCAAGCTTGCCTTATCTCATACCTAGTAACATATATAGAGAGTAATAGTGGGAAGAAACATTGTGAAAGATTTTAAAAACCAAATCCTTCCTAGATCAGGCATTGACTGATTTTATACAATTTATAACTTATGTAAAATATCTGAAATACTGTGTGTTATGAGAACTATGAAGTATAAATGGGATTAAAATGTTAACATTTAAGAATAAGTGATTTAAGAAAAGGGAAAGTAACCAGATAGATTTCCAGGGAGTATGCATTGGTGGCCACAATCCAGTCATACCTCTTAATGCTCTAATTCATCTATTTTTCTTTTGAAACGTAATTAGTAAGCATGAAGTTATAAAACGTAAAAATGATGTGGCATGTTTTAATACTGATGTGATCATAGTGTTGATTGAGGACAGGAAGAAATGTGTTCAAAGGATTTGAAGAATATCTACAGAAATCTTTAGTGCAGGAAACATATCCGCAGCTAGGGAAACAAGAGTCTGACAGGGAGAAGCACTTGGCCCAACCAGTGGCAAAAGGCTCTTATTCCAACAGCTGTGAGATTGTGGGAAGTAGGGAAATAAGCAGGTGGTGTGTAAAAGGAGAGCCCCACTGAGTGGCCCTGGGTAAGACATAATCCATGTTGCAGATATTAAGGGTAATTTTGAGGTATACCAAAATTGTGGTATGAAAGCTTAAAGCCATTATTGTTAAAATATATAAAAACCAGGGGAGCTCTGTTTCCTATCATCTGGTCACTTGAAACGTAATTTTCTCTTGTCATGTATAGAGCTGAAAAAGGAAGAAAGCCTTGGATGATTTTTGAATAGTTAGAATTAAAAGGCACTTTAAGTGGCAAACACACTGGGCTTTGTTTTCCTGAAGTGGAAATGATGACCATCTGGGTTTGGGTTCCTGAATTATCCTCAGAAGAACTTCCAAATAGCCAAGACCTCCACTACTCATTTCCTTGAAGAAACAAAAAATGTGTTTTCCTTATCTTTGGGATTTTATATTAGTGATAGCCTCTGTAATGTTACATAGTTTTGGGTGGAAGTATACCCAATGTTTTCTGTATTACATTTAGCAATTTTATGGAATTTATTTATTTATTTTTTTTAAGTTTTTAATTTTAATGAAGTTCAACTTCTCAATCTTTTTTTCTTTATGTTTAGTGTTTTTTTTTTTTAAAGACAGAGAGAGAGAGAATTTTTTTTAATATTTATTTTTTAGTTTTCGGTGGACACAACATCTTTGTTTGTATGTGGTGCTGAGGATCGAACCTGGGCCGCATACATGGCAGGCGAGTGCGCTACCGCTTGAGCCACATCCCCAGCCCCGGAATTTATCATTTTGTTTATTAGGTAGCTGTTATTTCATGTGCAAATTCTGATTTAATTTTTTGAACAATTATGGATAGATATTGACTCCATTGTGCAAATAACACTCAGTTTGATTTTCTCACAAACTTAAGTTGTCAAACCATGATTTGAACTTGGAATTCATAGCTCTGATGGTAACCACTGTATGATACTACCACAGGAGGCTAAGGGATAATGTTTCCTGTATATATTCAGGTATATTAACGTTTTTCATCATCCACAAACACATTCCAGTTACTTTATACAAGTGGGCTTTTGAAACAATTTTATTTATTCGATATAGGAAATTTTAACCCAATTTAATTATAAACAATCTGTCATATAAGGGTCTTAGCTATACCAGAGAAGCATAAGAGGGAAAACTCAGATCTAGATTTGGCTTATTCTTCTGAAGGTCAGGAGTATTTTTTTAGTTTAATAAGTCAAATGTTAGTTGGATTTGAGTTCCTGCTATGAAATGAGTATAGGACTGTATTAGCTTGTACTTCAAGAAATTGTTTCATATACTTGGCACTAGTTGTTTCTCCATCTTCTTTTTTTTTTTTTTAATAGTATTTTGTAAGCCTATAAGGTCCCTAAATAACATTTTCTTGATTGCAGGTAAAATTCTCCCTAGTGTCCAGGTAGAGGCAACTGGTCTTCCACTCCAGCATTTTGGTGCTTCTTCTACTCCTTGCTACAGTGGCATTTCCTTGGTGTTGACACTTCCTGCAGTCAGAACCTGGCACAACTTCTGAAGCTGCCTATCCTGGTGCCTCCAGGGATGGCAGCATTCAGTAATGCATTTCAAAAGGGGTTGCCTTTAACCCCTATAGATCCCTGTGAAAATGTTTGATAATGTCAAAAGCAAGGCAGAGACCGTCTCAATGATAATGAGGGTAAATATTTTATAACATTAGCTTAGAGTGGAAGTTGATTATCTGAGCTTGAAATTTAGCCTATCTTGTAGCCTAACAGAACTTGCAGCCTTACTCTAGTGAGAATACTGGGCTCAGCCTGGCCTTGGCTGATGATGTTTTTGTACAGTGGCCTGTAGGGAGTAGTCTGCTACTTTGGATCCAAGTGGGAGCCTCACTTCCTGGGAATTAACTTGGGAAAGACCCCCCCCCCCAAAAAAAAAAGCCATCTTTCTGGCTTGCTTTTTTTTTTTTTTTTAAATACATAGTGTTCTGTCAAAGAAGCTTAAAGATTTCATTATATGATTTTGTTAACTTAATTGCCCAGGAGAATTGTTTTCTTCTGTTATAAACTCAACATCAAAATGGAGCTGGTCAATAATGTGGGCAAGATAACTATAAATGATGGGACAATAATGTGTGTGTGTAGGCAGGTGTAGCTGTGAAGGATGGGAAAGGTGTTCAGAACAAGTAAAATTACCCCTAACTGGAAGTATGGCCTTGCAGTCTGGGTGGCATTTTTGTTTGGTAAGTATTACTTTTGATGTTGAATGTTTCCCAGATTAATAGCTTAAAATTTTCCTAAATAGTCACTGTTCTATTTTTGGCATGGATCTATTTTTACTCAAAAACACATAGTTTATTGCCTTATGAGTTGCTGGAGGAGGCCCCTGGGGATGTTTGAGTAAGCGAATGGTGTCATGGGAAGATAAATGAATTAGCAGCAGGCTGGGTTATTTGTGACTTTCAGTAATGCTGTGTAGTCGCAGCACAGAGAAGCTGGGTAAAAGTTCCCCAGGGTTGAGAGTTAGTATAGCCAAAGGCTGTGGTAAAGACATCAGGAAAATGGCTGGTAGTCCTTAAATAGAAAGGGGGATCTTTATAAAATGGGAAGGCTTAGTCAATTTAAAGTTTTCAGTAAGGATGTAAATAGGACAAAATAAATTGGGGAGTTGTACAAGAAAGCAGAGATTCCGAGCAGAAGTGGGACAACCTCTTAGGTGCCTGGGAACYACATGAAGACTTAGTGGCCAAGGAGGCTGCTCTGAGGGCAGCTGATTAAGTGGTGGAAATGAGTATTACACTGGTATTGGAGGGGAAAGAAGATTGAAAGCCATGTTCTTAAATCTCTTCTACCTAAATTCTTTGTTTTGTCTTTGCTTTGTATTCCTAATTAGAAAATATTTGGAAGCCTGTGATTGCAGAGATGCAAAATCTCATCTCCATAGGTTCTGCAGATGATCATTCAGCTGATTTAGTATGTAAAGTATCTGCTTCTCCTTGAGCTTTTTTTGTGGGGAGAGAGCAGGGATGATGCCAGGACCCTCAACATGCTAGGTAAATGCTCTACCACTGAACTATATCTCCAGCCCCTAGGACCGAACTTTTGTTCTGGCTGCTATATTTTGGTATTTGAAGTGTTGGCAACTAGTGCTAACTAACATCAGTGGAGGTTATTTGAAGTATGTATTGTCAGTCAAGCTTAGTTGCAAATCTGTTTTGGGTCTCATTTCCAATCTGGGGAAATTCAGGGGTTTTTTTAGTAACTGATCAAGTGATAAATTAATTTTCTTTTTACTAGCTGAGTTTTGACCTAGCAGTATTAAAAAATAATATATTTAAACATATCCAGTTAATTCCTAGTTAGATCTGGCTGGGGTTCTAAGAACAGTGCTACTTAGTTATGTTAGTCACGCTCAGCTGATGCAGATTGTGATTCATTGAGACTGGCTGGCAACCAGATGATTGTTACATAAACACTGATGCTCCTAGTAAATTATTTTCTTGTGAAGGTATCATAAATATTACCCAATACTTATTTTTTAGCAATTTATCCACAATGGAAAAGGGATATTTTTTTGCATGAATTCCTAAAACTTATAGATTATATCTAAACTTCACTTATATTAATATGGTCAACCTCTTGCCTTACCACACCTTTTATTGGTGCTTATTAGGAAAAATGGTGAAGCTGAAATGGACCTTGGAGATCATTTGTTCTAATCCACCTTATTTTACTTTTGATGCCTAGAAAGATTGTGTTTGAGGTCACATGCAACTAGCTAGACTAGCCCAGATGTCTTAGGTTTCAGTAATTAATAATTACATTGTATAATATATGTATTTCAGATATGCACTCTATCTTGATATACTCTGGGAAATTACCTTGGTGAATCTTTAGAGCAGTCTAGGAGAAACAACTTCATTAGTCACAGGATGAAATATATTGGGACTCTTGGATATTATTTGCATTTTAATGTCTAGTGGCCTTACCTGGATTTTGTTACTACAGAATCTAAGGAGCTCTTCAAATTCTGTTCTTTATATTTTATTTTATTGACTCTTGCCTATAGGACTCAAGCATTCTGTGTTTGTCAAAATGAGATGGAATTTTGATTTAGAAGGGTTGCTTCCTTAAAAGACTTAGAAATATTTACAAAGTCTCTTTGTCTTTCTACTAACAAATGCAAAAGTGAATGTTTAAAGGCTTACTAGAGGAGAAAACTGGGGTGGGGAGTATCACTGGTCTTCAACTGAATTTGAAGGGAGCATGAATTTTGGATTAGTAAAAAGGAAAAGATTGTCCTGGACTATCGCAGGTTTCAGAGGTATGAAGGCTACTAAAGAACTTGTGAGGAGGAATGAGGAACCCCACTTGACTGGAGTTGGGGCAGCCCCATGGGAAATGACTGAACTGAAGACACACTGAAGAATGAAGTGTGGGTTTGGTTTGATTAGAGTAGGCAAAGGAGGGTGCACATATTCCTGGGTTGAGGATTTGTACTGAAATGTAGATGTCCTAGAGATAGGGAAATGGGGAAATTAGAATGGGGAGCTGGTGTTTTTATTTTGTCTGGGGTTTGGGGCAGAGAGACTCAGGTAGCTGCTTGATTGAACTTGTAAGAACTAGGTACAACTTCTCTGATTTTTAAATGTAATAATTACATTTGTTGCTTATGTTCTTGGATCACTTTTTCCCCAAATAAACTATCATTGTTTCTGATTCTCTGCTGCTCATTCTTGAATGTCCATTAGAATTTGCTTTGGTGGCGGTTCCCTCATTAAAGTTCAGTTTAAGTAATACCTTTCTTTATTTTATGGTTTCCCAAGTGTTTTGCTTTCTTCCCTTTTTTCCTTTTAAAATAAAAGAYATTGGGGTTGGGGTTGTAGCTCAGTGGTAGAGCACTTGCCTGGCAAGTGTGAAGCACAGGGTCCGATTCTCAGCACCATGTATATATATAAATAAAGATCCATTGACAACTGAAAAAAATAATTAAAAAAATAAAAGACCTTTACCAATACGTCATGTTAAGGAGATATTTTGTGAAAGGGTTACAGGCTCTTTTGAGGGCCTAGATTACTTTAGCAAGTTAGCTACTTTGCTGGCCCCAGACCTGGGTTTTTTTTATTTTAAAGACCTGTGTTAGTTTCCTGGGGCTGCTGAACAAAGTACCACCAACTGAGTATCTTAAAACTATAGATTTTCTATAGTTTTTCTTATATGTATTTTCTTATAGTTCTGGAGGCTAAAAGTCTGAAATTGGGGATTTGATGGGGCTGCCTTCCTAGGGAAGAACTCTTCCTTGCCTCTCTACTAGCTTTTGGTGGTTTTTGGCAGCCCTAAGGTTCTTGGCTTTATAGAGGCAACATCATTCCAATCTCTGCCTCTGTTGTTACATTGTTCTCTGTATGTCTGTCTCTTTAAAATCTCACTCTCCTTGTGAGAACACCAGTTACTGGATCTTGGACATATCCTACTCCTATGTGACTTCATCTTAACTAATTATATTTGCATAGACCTTATTTTCAAATAAGGTCACATTTTCCATACCAGAAGGTAGGACCTTAACATATCTTACTGGGGACACGATTCAACCCACAACAGTCTTACTAACTATATAGCTGATTCACCTGGAGTTGGCATCATAGAGAACTAAGGGAAATTAACAACTGGTGAACTTTAACTTTTCCATTTAAAATAATTAGTGCTTCTAGGGCCAGTTAGGCCTGGGCTCCTATCAGGTCAGAGTAAATAGGGCAGCTATGTAGCTTTGTTTCCCTTGAGCAGAGATGGGGACATTTACTATCACTAATGCATCATTTATTTTGACTTGAGGGAGGGCTGGGAGAATCTGTAGGAAAATAATCAAACAGGATAAAGTCTCAGTGTTTTCTTCCTCATGATTATCCCTTTCCGTAATCATCCTTGTCACCATTCCTTCCAAGATGAAAGCAACATCTTACATTCAAGACTTGATGACTTCTCTATTCCTATTTTGAGTTTCCAAGTATTTAACTTTTGTACTATAGTCTTCCTTTGGATAGGATGTATATTGGTTTTGCCCATGAATGTTTTTTTCTCCAGAGTTGGCTTGTCCATAAGTCCTTTCTTGAGAAGGATTGTTAATTATGTTGGAGAAAGAATTTTCCAAGATTTTTGGGTTTAGCTCTCAAATGTTTCTCTTTGGGGTTTTACAGGTGACAGAGCTGAATGAACCTCTCTCTAATGAAGATCGAAATCTCCTCTCAGTGGCCTATAAGAATGTGGTTGGTGCCCGGCGATCTTCTTGGAGGGTCATTAGCAGCATTGAGCAGAAAACCATGTCTGATGGAAATGAAAAGAAATTGGAGAAAGTTAAAGCTTACCGGGAGAAGATTGAGAAGGAGCTGGAGACAGTGTGCAATGATGTCTTGGCTCTGCTTGACAAGTTCCTCATCAAGAACTGCAATGATTTCCAGTATGAGAGCAAGGTGTTTTACCTGAAAATGAAAGGTGATTACTACCGCTACTTGGCAGAAGTGGCTTCTGGGGAGAAGAAAAACAGTGTGGTAGAAGCTTCCGAGGCAGCCTACAAGGAGGCCTTTGAAATCAGCAAAGAGCACATGCAGCCAACACATCCCATTCGGCTGGGCCTGGCCCTCAACTTCTCTGTGTTCTACTACGAGATCCAGAATGCACCTGAGCAGGCCTGCCTCTTAGCTAAACAAGCCTTCGATGATGCCATAGCTGAGCTGGACACATTAAATGAGGATTCCTATAAGGACTCCACACTCATCATGCAGTTGCTTCGAGACAACCTCACCCTCTGGACAAGCGACCAGCAGGATGAAGAAGCAGGAGAAGGCAACTGAAGATCCTTCAGATCCCTGGCCCTTCCTTCACCCACCATTCCCATCATCACCAATTCTTCCTTGCCACAGTCACTAAATATCTAGTGCTAAACCTATCTGTATTGGCAGCACAGCTACTCAGATCTGCTCTCCTGTCTCTTGGGAAGCAGTTTCAGATAAATCATCATGGGCATTGCTGGACTGATGGTTGCTTTGAGCCTACAGGAGCTCCCTTTTTGAATTGTGCAAAGAAGTGTGTTCTGAATGAGGCATTTAACTATGCCTATTAATCTATGGCAAATCTAGGCAAAAGTAATTAGGGAGTTTAGAGAGGAGAATTAGCCAACACAGGCTATGGTTGATATTTAAAACAAGCTGATAGTGTTTTGTTAAGCAGTACAATCTTGTGCATGCAAAAATGAATTCAGCCCTTTCACCTCTTTCTTCAGCTAATGGAAAACTGTTAGGGAAAGCTGATACAGAGAGACAACTTGCTCCTTTCCATCAGCTTTATAATAAACTTTGATGTGAGGTTTCAGTAGCACCTTGTTTTGCCTCTTTAAATTATGATGTACACAAACCTTTTAAACGCAATGCATCTAAAGTTTTGATATGTGTAACTTTCCTTTTTTTTTTTTTTGGTTGCAATTGTTTAAGAATCATGGATTTATTTTTTGTAACTCTTTGGCAGTTGTCCTTGTGTATCTTGACAGCACCATGTGTGTCAGCCCCATGTCAATCAAGACAGGTGATTATGAAATGCCAGACTTATAAAATAAATGTTTTGAAATTCAAAGGGTAAATAAATGCTGCTTTGGGGATATTATCTCTGTGTGTGGTCTTGATTTTTTTCCCTCTCCCAAGGAGCTCTTTAACCAGTCATCATTTTGAGGCTCTCAGAGCATTGAAGTATCAGCAGTACAGTATCCAGGCTTTCCTGCCATCTAATTGATTCCATTACATATTTTGTAGCACACATTTAAGGGTTGTGAGTTTTTTAAATAGTCTTCTGTGAACCCAGCTATTAGCCTCTGTGATCCACTCTAACCAATAATTGATGTTTGTAAATGAGCCTAAGAGTCCCTGTACAGCCATGACCTCAAGGCTTTGGGTAGCCTTGGCAAGCCATGCTACTTCTGAGTCAGTTTTGGATTATGTTTCAACTCCAACTACTCTGAAAATTGGGTATAGAGAAGTAGGAATATGCATAATTAAAGTGTAGCCCCATCAGTGGTGACAAATGGAGTTCTTGAGAGAATTTAGGAGGAAGCAATATAAATTGCATGTGGCCTAAACCTGGAAGGCTTTTCTACTGCATGATAAAGAGGTCAGGGTAAACTAATGTCTAAAGAAATAAAATAGTTTTTCTAGGTCACAGCAAAATTAGGGACAACCTAGAATAGCATTCAGATACCCTAAATCCTTGCATGCTTTTTACTGTGCTATGCCCTTTGGGTTAAGACTAGGGGAAAAAAAGGATGTGATGTTCATTCTGAGGATTATTTCAATGCTTTGTTTTTTTGTTTGTTTTTCTGGTGCTATATGGGGAACCCAGGGCCTTGGGCATGTTCGACGGGCATTCATCACTTAAGCTATGTGGCAGCTTACTTATTAGCCTTTTAATATTTTCACTTAGAAACAAAGTTGTACTTTAAATTTTTAAATTGATGACTTCATGTTTCCAGTAGCTCCTCAAGCCTTGCTCAAATATCCATTTCCTTGAGTTTGGGGAATGAATAGCATTCTTAGTTATGGAACTTTTGTCAAATAAATCACTTAGTCACATTACTTGAGATGGGGAGGCCCAAGTCCTTTAAAAAAAAAATTTAGTTGTAGATGGATACAATACCTTTATTTTATTTTATTTTTATACGGTGCTGAGGATTAAACCCAGTGCCTCACAATGTGAGACGAGTGCTCTACCATTGAGCTACAACCCTAGCCCCTCCCAAGTCCTTTTGGCTCTATGATAAAGTAGGCTGTTTTCAACTTGTTAGGCTCTCCATGCATTACTTGCAATCCACCCTTAGAGTATTTATGTCCTATAGAGTTTGAACTGATTCCTCAGTTAGGAATCCCAACTATCAGGCAAGCTCCAACACTTAGGATTTCAAGCATCAGTACTATAGTGGGACTTAACTCATCTTCTGTTATATACCCCAGTAGTGGGACTTAAATCATCTTCTATTATATAGCCCAATAGGTTAGCTGATGAAAACCACCATTGCAAACTATGTTCTGAGTACTTACTTTTATGGTCTCTGAATCTGTACAATGACCCTGGGAGATAGGAATGTTAATATTTTTTAACAGGAAACCACATACCAGATGCGGCTTATGGTACATGGCTATTAAAAGGTAAAGCTGAGCTCAAAATGGGCTGTTATGCTAGGTACGCTGATGTATAACTGTAAAACAGGAGAATTACTTGAGCTCGGGAGTTCAAGGCCAGCCTGAGCAATTAAAAAAAAAAAAAAAAGATGGGATGTCCTACTTCAAGACTATTTCAACTATGCCATGGTTATTTTGAACCCATCTTGGAAAAAATTAGCCTTGGAATTCTTCCTTCAAGACCTAATGAAATACTTTCATTTACAATCCTCTGATCTGGCTGGAAGCTTCCTCTTTCCTTTGAACTGCTAGGTGACTTGGGGTCAGTCTTTGTTATTATTCTAAGTTTTTCAGCATGTTATCACCTCCACTGGAATATAAGCCTTATGGCACCTAGCAAGGTTGGATGAGCTAAAGGTTGAAGGAATCTATTGTCAAAGTCATTTCCCAAAGCACAACTCGTTGTCATTCTGGAGTACAGAAACTATATCAGAAAGGGAAGAGTAAATAACATTTTCTGTCCTCTGTGGGCTGATCACCTTGCTGAATGAGGCTTTACATACATGTTTAAATTACAAACTAATACTCTTGTGATCTGGGTTGTAGCTCCAATTACAAGGCTCAGAAAAAGTGACTTTCCTGAGGTCAAACAGGAAATGGAAGAATATATTTTTGTGCAGGACTTAAAAGTCCTTTATTATTATTTTATTAATGGAACTGAAGATTGAATCCAGGGGCTCTACCTCTGAACTACATCTCCAACATCCCCACTTTTTTGGTGGGGTGGGTGCCAGGGATTGAGCAAGAGACACTCAACCACTGAGCCACATTCTCAGGCCTATTTTGTATTTTATTTAGAGATAGAGTCTCACTGAGTTGTTTAGTGTCACTATTGCCGAGGCTGGCTTTGAATTCATGAACCTCCTGTCTCAGCCTCCTGAGCTGCTGGGATTACAGGTGTGTACCACCGTGCCTGGTGACCAACTTGCCCACCTTTAAAAAAAAAAAATTGAGGCAGGGTCTCACTAAATTGCTGAGGTTTGTAATCCTGAGCCTCCTGAGTAGCTGGGATTATAGGAATGTACCACCACCATGCCTGGCTTAGGATTCTTGTTTTTTTGATAACGTCGCTTGCAGATCTGGATAGCAGTTTAGAAGAATAATGCAAAGCCTGACCAAAGTCACATAGCAGTTCAAAGGGGAGAGATTACTTTCTCCTTTACATTGGCTCCAGCTGGATGGGTCTTTTTTATTGTACTACTCCTACTCCCAGGCATACCCTGGACCTTAATGGGGACCTTAATGCCTTTCTTTCTCCTAAGACTTGGAGCTCCTTCACTTCAGAAAGTGCATTACTTGTAGTAATACACTAACAGTTGTAGCTTGATATGGACTGAAGTACCGCTAGTTGAAATCTATCTCCAGCTGCATCCAACTTGTTCAAACTGCTCTTGTGTTTTGCTCAAGTTCTTACTCTCCTTCTGGAAGGGGTTTCTTCTCTTGCTCTATCCAAATTCAATCTATGAAATCCCACCTGTCAGTTTCTGTGTGACCCTGAACTGGTTCTATGGGTCTGTACCACACAATGGCATTTATCACTTCTTTGTTTATTCAATAATCCCATTGAGCTGCTACTACATGGTACATGTTGGGTGGGGGGCTGGAGATACTTGGTGAATTGACACAGACCGGAGTCTTGTTCTCCTAGGGTTAACACTCTAGTGAGGAATAAAAAAATGAAAAGCAAAGAGTAAAATTGTCACTTAAGTTCCTCTCCAGGCCTAACTTACAATGCACAATAAGAATTTCTTATTCAGTCAATTATTCATAATTTGACTAATTTGAGGTCAGAATTTTTTAAAAAGAACAACAAGAATCCTTCATTTCTCCACCCAAATCTACTGATGAGCCCTACAAAACAACTGCAGTCTTTTCTCTTTACACTTGCAAATTAGTAGTGTGATCTAGAGCAAGTCCTCGCCTCTTGGATGTATCTGTAAAAAAAATGAGATTGTTGCTTTTGGTGGTCTCTGGGAACTTTCATTTCTGAGATTCTGTATTATTTTCAACTGCTCTGGGGGTGKTCTGAATCCTGTTCTTGGTCTTTTCCCCTGTACTTCTCTCTTCCCCTTTTCCTTCCACTCTTCACATTTGTTCCTTCTGCATCTGCCCTCCATACTCTTCACTTTCCTAGCTACTCCACATCCTACCCAGATGGTTACCATGGGAATCATCTTCTAGAAGTGACATCAGTCATTTCCTAGGCAACCATTTCCAGGRCAGTGACATCATCCAATCACCATGGCAACACTCCAGGAGGACACTTCTGAAGTGAAATGGGCAAACAGAATTCTTATGTATTTCTGAGGGTTGGGAGCAATACAGGAAGAATATTAAAAGAAGAAAATATCTCAGGAGCAAGAAGCTCTGGTCTTTTGGGGGAAAAGTTGAATGACTGTGGGGCTCAAAAAAAAAAAAAAAGTAGAACCCTTCCCTTTCTAATAACCGGGCTGATTCAGTAACTTGTCACCATATTGGAATACTTTAGAGTGAACAAGGGCACCATTATTATTTTTCATGGATAACAAAAGAACACTGGGTCTCCCCAAGCAAATCAGGATTTGTGGCCCCCTGCCCATAATCAGGCAGATGCCTAGCTTCTCTCCCTTATCCATGACTCATCCCACAAGTGGTGATTCAGTATTTCCTGTGTAGGGATATTGGGGATACCATAGTGAACAAAACCCGCCCAGCTTCTAGTGAAGCACACAATTGTGTATGTTGTATATGTTTTAGAGTGAGGGTAATCCCATAGTCACCCGAATGCATGCTATGGTGTAGACTGAGCATAATGTTCAAAAGGGAAAGTGTCAAACTCCAGGAACATCTAACAAGCTACTGGAAGCAGCTTGGGCAGGAGGGTCCAAAAGCTCTGTGGAAGGCAGTAGGATGGGGATGAGTTGGGGAGAAGACTGGCAGAAGAAACAGCATGTACAGAGAAAGCATGTAGAATATCCAGAATGGAAAGGTAGATGGGGAGGCCAAGCAAAAACCAGGAGAGAGCTGAAGGTTGAGAGGGCAGGGCAGCAGAAACCAAGCCTCATAAGACCTTGGAGGTTAGAACTTTGGCCTTCATTTTCCTAGCACTGGAAAGCCCTGTGGGAGGATTTTGAGCAGCAGGTGACAGGATCTTGTTTGCATTGTGTTAAAAAAAATCTCACCCTGAAGGTCTGTTGTGTGGAGCAGTTTGGGAGAGCAGTTTGTTTAGGAGGGATTTTGGGTGGTGATTTAACTGTGAGATGGAGTGACATAGGTATATTTGGGAGCTGACAGGATTTGCTGAAGGAATGAATAAGGGTGAGGGCAAGGATATTCAGGCTGATATTCAGGCTCCTGATATTGAGTGACTTGGGGTAGAGGAGAGATACTGATTCAGATAGATGAGGGTGGTGGGGCAGACCTAGGACTAAACCAAAGCAAGAGAGTTGCCTTAGG